AGAGAGAGACACCGACTTAGGCTAGGGAGGCGGGAGACACCGACCGACGTTGGGGTCCCTTAAAAATTTCCTCGGCCAAAAAGGGGTCACGAGTGGAGAAAGTTTAAGAAGGCCTGCTCTAAGTGACATAAATCCATGACATTACAACCATAGATAACATCAAGAAACCCTTTTTTGGCTAGGTGGTGTTTATTTTTAAATACTTTGGATTCTTAATACTGCAAGAATAAAATAAATTCAAAAAACATCCTTAAAAAAATCCACTTTTACAGATAACTTTCCACTTGGTATACAAGAATCTACAGGCTAAAACTCTAGTAGTACTTGTAGCAGTAGTGTGCCAAACAATTGTGTTTTAAAGTCCAACTTCAAAGGCTTAAAAACATCAGGTGATGAGAACAATTGACTTTCATATTCAAATGGACGCAGTGTTCAGACTATGGCATAGGAGCAGCATATGTAGTGGTGTAGTCTATTGTAACATTGGTGGTGACATGTGACACAAGCTTAGCTGAAATCTTCCTTTTAATACTTTCTCCACAATAAAATCAACATTCCAGCTTGAATTCTGATTTCCACATAATGATAAATGCCAGCCATGCTTGCAATTTCCTGTTTACAAAGTCCACCATCTTACAGCTAAATGGCTTTGCTGTTTTATGGTCGCTGTGGTTCAATCTCTGGCAATGTCAAATAATTTAAAGTCTAAAATGTCTCATGTTGTCATGGAAATAAAGTTCCTGGAGGGTTCTGATCCCAGACAGTTTATAAATAATGACCTTCCCTAAAGTTGTCTGTGTTCAAGATTCTGACTTCAGGCGTAAAGTCTGCACTGTTTTTATTGTCTTTACACTGTGTTTTCCATCTTTGCTGTGAAGGGATGCATTGGAATCAATCAGGCTGTCCTTGGATCCATTTCTTCTCTGAAATAGAAGATAGAAAGACTGAATGCAATGTTTTACTACACAGATATTCAGTGTAGTCATTTACAAATAGAAGTTGCCACACAATGTATGCATGTTTTCATTCTCAACCAAATGCAAAACTTCTGAATCCGATTCCTACCTGCATCCTCTCCCTCCAATGCCAGTAAACCATAATGTGATCTTTTTACTGAAGCTTTGTAAACATGCACTTGAAGCATTACATGAAGCAGAAGGAATGGCACTTGCTTGTCTATGGGACACTACACTACATTCACAAAATATTCAGACCCCCTTCACTTTTTTCAGTTTGGTTATGTTGCAGCCTTTTACTGCAGTTGTTTATTTGTTTGTCTCAATCTACACTCAGTACCCCATAATGACAAAGTGAAAACAGAATTTTAGAAATGTCTGTGAATTTATTAAAAAACTGAAATATCACATTGGCATAACTATTCAGACCCTTTGCAACAACACTTGAAATTGAGCTCAGGCACCTCCCATTTATATTGATAATTGTGGAGATGTTTCTACATCTTGATTGGAGTCCACCTGTGGTAAATTAAATTGGACATGATATGGGAAGGCACACACCTTTCTAAAGAAAGCCTCACAGCTGACAATGCATACTGTATCAGAGCAAAAACCACGAGGTCAAAGGAACTGCCTGCCGAGCTCAGAGACAGGATTATTGCAAGGCAATAATGCTACAAAAAACATTGCTGGACTGAAGGTTCCCAAGAGCACAGTGACCTCCATAATTCTAGAATGGAAGAAGTTTGGCAAAACCAGGAGTTTTCCAAGAGCTGGTCGCCCTGCCAAACAGCGCAATCGGGGGAGAAGGGCCTTAGAGGTGACCAAGAACCTGATGGTCACTCTGACAGCTCCAGAGATCCTGTGTGGAGATGGCACAAAGGAAGGACAAACATCACTGCAGCCCTCCTCCGATCTGGCCTTTTTGGCATAGTGGCTAGACGGAAGCCTCTCCTCAGTGCAAAACACATGATGGCCCACTTGGAGTTTGTAAAAAAGCACCTGAAGGACACTCAGACTGTAAGAAACAAGATTTTCTGGTCTGATGAAACCAAGATTGAACAGTTTGGCCTCAATTCTAAACAATATGTCTGGAGGAAACCAGGCATCGATCATCATCTGCCCATAACCATCCCAACAGTGAAGCATGGTGATGGCAGCATCATGCTTGGGGGTGTTTTTTAGCAGCAGGGACTGGGAGACTGGTCAGGGTTGAGGGAAAGCTGAATGGAGCAAAGTGCAGAGATATCCTCAATGAAAACCTGTTCCACATTGCTCAGGACCTCAGACTGGGCCAAAGGTTCACCTTCCAAAATGACAACGATCCTAAGCACACAGCCGAGACAACACAGGAGTGGCTTAGGGACAACTCTGTGAATGTCGTAGAGCAGGGGTGCCCACAATTTTTTGTCTTGAAATCTACTTTTTAAATGACGGGCTCAATGAGATCTACCAATGTAAAAACACCTTTATTTAAAAAACAAGCACATTAAAATCGTTACTGGGACTTCTGCCTCTCTCCCTCACGTGTGCACGCTCTCTTCTCGATCTCTCCTCTTTGTCTCTCTGTCTCCCCTCTCTCGGCTGTCTCTTCTCGCTCTCTCTCCTCGCTCAGGTCAGTCAGCCGATCGCGATCTACCAGTGTTTGCTTTGCGATCAACTGGTAGATCGTGATCGAACTAGTGGGCACCCTTGTCTTGAACCCGATTGAACATCTCTGCAGAGACCTGAAATTGTCTGTCCACTGACAGTCCCCATCCAACCTGACTTGAGAGGGTTTGCACAGAAGATTGTCAGAGAATCCCCCAATGCAGGCAAAGCTTGTCACGTCATACCCAAAAAGACTTGAGGCTGTAATTGCTGCCAAAGGTGCTTCAACAAAGTAAAGGTCTGAATACTTAAGTACATGGGATATTTCAGTTTTTACTTTTTAATAAATTCACAGACATTTCTAAAATTCGGTTCGCCATTATGGGGACCTGAGTGTAGATTAATGAGAAAAAAAGAATTTAAATAATTGTAGTATCAGACTGCAACATAACAAAATTAAAAAAGTGAAGGGGGTCTGAATACTTTCTGAATGCACTGTATATCCCAATCCTTACTATTATAATGGCATGGACAAACTGTAAAAATAAAAATAAATCCACAGCTGTGGAGGGGTCTGAATGTGGGCCCATCTTTGGTTTAAAGCAATAAGGCAGAAATCAAACATCATCAGGGAGCAGAACTCTTTTTTTTGTAAGGAGATAACCTAGCATGTCCCCTTAAAAAGTAAGGGTATTAGAATAACGAGAGTCTAAGAGATCCTTCACATACGTGCAGAGGTCCGTGTATTGTAAAAGATGGCCAGATCTGGGTGCCTGGGAGTCACAAGTGTTGCATACAGCTCACCTGTACAAATCAATGTCAGGCTGTGGGTGTATGCTGTGGGGACACTGCCTTGAATGTATATTTGTGGACATGTACAGATGTACGTCCCTGGATGCAGACTGTCTGAACCTGGCTGGAGGAGGCAAGGCAAATGAGCTGCGAGGGGGAAAATTATTGGTCAAAACTTCACAGTCTGCACTGCAGTTACCCTAGCTCTCGGAAGCCTCTGAGCAAGCAAATTCCTCCTCCTGAGCTTACCTGTCTGTATTAGAAAGCCACAGCAAGTTTTAATCTTCCTGAACTCATTTGTACTCTTTGGAAGGAGATGCAGCTTGCTCCTCCTCCCGGGTCTCTCCTCCTCTCCTTGCTGTTTGAGCTTTAATCTGAAAGTAGTGATGCTACTGTCACTACTCCTATCAGAGGGACAGTACAGACAGCAAATTCATTCACAATCTACTGCTCACTTGGCAATGGATGGGTGCATCCAGATGGGACTGTTCCCGAACCCTAGTTTAAAGGAACACTTTCATATGAAAAATACATATATATAACTGCTAGACATGTTATTTTGTAATTAAATTTCAATGTAAAAAATACCTTCCTGTTACAATGTGCAGCTGCTGTCATTTTCTAAAACTGGGAAAATGCAAAATATTGCTTCCTTTCAATATTGCAACTGCTGATGAATATGCCCTAGAAATGTCATTTCCTGCTTGTGTGGTTGGCTCGTTTCCACAAAAGTCTACATTGGCATACAAGTCAGATTTTAGGCATCCCCGAAACAGAAGTTTCATTTTGAATGAAATACTTCCTTAGGCCTGTCTCCAGTTGATGTGAATATGTCCTAATAAGAACACTGATATTTACTTAGGCGGTTACATAGTTACATACTGTAGTTGTTAATGTTGACTGAAGACAGAGGCCCATCCAATTCAGTGTGTGTGTGTGTGTGCGTGCGTGCGTGCATCACTAAGAATTCCCATACCCCTGTATATTGCATTTCCTGAGGAAGACATCTAGACGATTTTCTGAATATGTATATACTCTTAGCTGATACCACCACCTGGGGAAGAGAGATCCACAGTTTTACCAAATCTATGATGCAGTTTGAGGTTAAAACTTTTTTTCCTTCAATCTCAGGTGGTGGCCTCTTGTCTTCTTTAGGGACCTTCAAAAGTAAACTAGGGGCTGGCTCATCCCACTAGGCGCCACCTTATAGCTCAAATATTACTTTTGGTTGTACTGATTCTTTAACTCTATCTCTTCCTATAATGAGTTATACAGTCTTGGTTTATTTGCCTACTTATATGAAATGTACTAACCTGCTGAGAAGAGGGACCACTGGAGCAATGTGTTTCTGAGGCTCGTGTCACAGCCAGAGGAGGCACAAGATCACTTTTCACACTGAGAAAAGAAAGCAGATTGGATGATGTTGCATAAACACGAATAGGATTTCAATCAATCTAAATAAGATAACGTGAAAGGAAAGAAAAAGGATCTTTCGGGAATCATTTTTTACCTTTAACAAGGAGAATAAAGGTGCCCATACACTGCTCGATTCTCGTACGAGAATCGCGGGAAATCCCGCGATCGTACGAGAATCGAACAGTGTGAACGAAGACGTGCGACCGTTTCTACTGTACGGTCGCACGTCTTTTGTCTAAGGAGCATGTTAGAAAACCAGCTGAGAATCGTACGATTTTCGGCTGGTTAGAACGGTGCTCGGGAGACAAATGCCGAACGGGCCGGTGTGCGCACGCGCACACTGCCCGTTCAGCATTGCAGTCATCGGAAGCCCGCCCCTTGCGATGATCGAAAGTGCGATCTGCCTGTCCAAGATGGGCAGATCCTACGTTTTTTTAATCACTTTACAACCATCGCAAGACTAAGGTCTTGCGATGGTTGTACAGTGTATGGCCACCTTAAGAATGTAAGATAAGGTAAAGTCTTTTCCTGTACAAGGACGCTGTAAACATTTATTATCCAGAGCTAAGATTCGTTTGTGCTAAGAACAATCTCTATTCACCAGTAAGGATATCACATTCCTCAAGCCCCAAAAGATCTCCCTGCATTTTAGTAAACAATTAGGCAAATCGATATACCGTAAACTCCTCATTATCCGGCATCCACAGGGATTGGTAGATTCCCGATAAATGTAGTTTCTGGTTGCTTTAGAGTTACTTTTAAAAATAGGTCTAACTAATGCCATACCCCATAACATAAACTCTGTATTGACTTCATATTAATATTGAAATCCTGTAATCAAAGGCAAATTAAGATACGTAAACACACCTAAAACAAATTAAGATAAATAGAAACACGATCCATCCCAGGATAATACATGCCGCAGATGAGCAGAACAGTGAGTACACAGGGGGATTGTTCTGGTTAGATGAGAGTTCTGGTTAGTTGAATACCGGATGACACAGAGTTTACTGTACAACTGCAATAATGCTTCATAAATATTCACCTAAAGACTTTTGCATATTTTGCACTGTTACAACCTGGAAAATGGATTTAATTGGAATTTTATGTTAATGATCTATAATGCCTAGTGGAAAAAAATATTTTAGAAGGAAAACACACTGCCTTTGCTGTGCAACTCTTATTAAGCTCTCAATTATTCTCAACAGTCACATAATTAAAGTGTGACCTGTTTCTAGAAGGTATTTCTTCAAAAGCAAATATAAACACACACCATTACAAAGATCAGTGAGCTATCAAAACAAGTTCAGGAGCTTTGAACATATCCCCTGAAATCTATTATTAAAAAAAGGGAAATAATATGGCACAACTGTGAGCCCGCCTAAGGAATCCTTGCACCAGGAGAGGGTTGTAGTCAGAGAAGCAGCCAAAATGCCAGTGGTAACATCGAATGAGCTATAAAGACCCAGAGATGAGATGGGAGAAACTGTTCAAGGGGCAACTATACCCAAAAGCTAGGTAACACTTTATGGAAAGTGCCAAGACTAAAACCATTGCTGAACAAAAACCCATAATAAGTCCAGTCTGATAAGACCAAAATAGAGCATTTGGGCATCACTCAAAACATTGCATGTGGTAGTAAGCCAACACTAGCCACACAATTAAGAATGATGATGTTAGCATTTAGCCATGTAGATTCCATTCACCAGGAGTGACTGAAAAACTGGTCACAACTGAGGGCAAGATGAATGCAGATAAACACAGGTTAGTTCAAGAGAAAAAACTCCTATATTGTGCAGCAGACATGAGATGGGGAATTAAGTTCACCTTCCAGCAAGTTAGTGGCCCCAAACACACAGCAAAAGTTACACTGAACTAGTTTTAAACCAAATGCTTAAAGGTCTTAAAAAGGCCCAGACCTCAATCCTATTGCAAATATTTGGAAATACTTCATGTAAAACTAAACTGAGGTGTTAGATCTTACAAATGCATTCAAGTACCTTAAGTACTAACAAAAATGTATCTTATTTGTGTATCACTCAGCTGTAGATCCCCAAATCATCTCTGATTTGATGCTGACACTGTCCTTCCTACTGGAGGGTGGCTACTTTTGTTCCTCATGGTCCCTGTGTGTGTTGTAAAGTAGTCACCGCACCAAGCTCGCTCCCCTGATGGACTACAATCTCAATACCAATTAGAACTCTGGCAGTCAGAGTCTTGCAATTCTTCATGATCTTGTAGTTCCACTACAGCTTGAGTGCAGAGGTTGCCTACTCCTGCTCTATTCAATCTGCCAGGGATAGAGTGATTGCACAAAAGAATAGGAAACATGTTGGCTCTAGATAGGCAAAGCTGGTAGAGACATACCACAAAAGACTCACAGCTGTAATTGTAGCCAAACATGATTCCTTTAAGTAATGAGCTGGAGGCTGCTTTTAAGTTTACTTAACTTTTAGGAAATGTTGCACCTTTAAAATGTTCAGTTGCTATGATGCCACATGGTAAAAATACAAATTAAATCAATTTGTCTTCCAGGCTGTGACACTAGACACTGTGGTAAAGTCCAAGGAGATTAATACTTCTGCACATCACTCCAATTGCTTACAAATATTTTATGAAAGCCAGTCAGCGCAAAACTGGTGGCACTTGTGATTAGGACATTTATTAAAGGAATTTTTCAGTAACTAAAGTATTTTCTAGAGTGCCTATACAGTATTTAGCAAATAATTGAGCCCATTCTTGACATAATGATTAATTGAAATCAATGTTTCTGAATCCAGCATTCTGTAGGTTATTAGAAGGTAGTAGGTTATTAGAAGTCATTGCTAAAAACTGATTTTCTCAAAACAACAAATTGTGGAAAATTATTACAAATCAACATTTTCTATATACCGAATGGATTACATGTCCTTCATGTTGGATGATTTCTGTAACTTATCCTTCATAACTGCATTGCTCTAGAAAACGCAATTATATTTATTCACCACACACAACAATATTATATGTGTATGTATTCTAGGTGGGATTCTCCGCACTCTATATCCACATCTCAAGTGGCTTGGTTCCATAGGAGCTGCTCACAATTGCATCTCAAAGGAATACTGCACACTGGGGTGCATCAATCTTGCTCTTTTTATTATATAGCCATCAGGCACAATGCTTTACTTTACTTGAATGGAAAATCGGAACCACCACTGGTTTTCTCCCCTCACCCTGTTAGGTATTGTGGATTCTCTCTATGCTTTACCCTACTGGAATTGCCATTCAGTAACACTATTCCATACTGAGTGGCTTTCTCCCATTATCATGTTGGGTATTATGGATGCTCTCAGTCTTACTGGAATATTACATGATTAACACCACTACCCCGAGAAACTTACTTGACTTCTGACAGAACAGATCTTTCACCATCAGAGCACTGGGACCTCCTGTATTGGCGAAAACTGCGGGGGGAATGGGAGTGTCTAATACGTATTGGGTCACCTTGAGTCCTAAAAAACAAAACACCGCAAACATTTTAAAATGAAAATAACTGCATTCAGGGTTGCAATTTAAAAAGATCATTAAGCATCTTACAGGATTTTTGTATTCACAGTAAAATCCGTTTCTTCGAGTCAATTGAGGGACACAGGATTCAGAGACAATTGGTTAATACTGCTGCCTACAGGAGGATTTGGATACTGGCAAACAAAAAAACAGTGGTAAGGGCTGATGTAACCTCCTCCGACTCCCAGCATGCCTCAGTTTGAGGTAGTGCTCGAGAATAAGGACATAAACACAGAGGGGTGGGACCTGTGTCCCTCAATAAACCTGAAGAAAAGGATTTTACAGTGAATGAAAAATTCAAGTTTTTTATTGTTCATTGAGGTACACAGGATTCAGCGACATTTGGGATGTCCCAAAACAGTTCAACTGAGGGGTGGGAAACACCGAAAATAAAACATGAATAGGCCCAAACTGGGGACTGCCTGCAGTTCAAATAGCCATCTGAAGAACCTTATGCCCAAAGCTGGCATCACCAGGTAAAACCTAAAGAACATTTGAACAGATGACCATGTAGCAGCCTTGCATCAGTTGCCTGATGTCAAAAAAGCAAGAGAAACACTCACAGATCTAGGAAATGCACCTTGACAGGAAATGGTGGAACCCAATCCTTAAGACCATAAGCTTAAATGAGTTGTCACAGCAAATGAGAAATGGTAGAACGAGAAGCTGGTTCCCCTTTAAGGGAACCATCAGGAATGACAAAGAGAGTCGGTCTTTCTAATGGAGACACACCTACAGCTCAAACTTCATCCAGACAAAAAAAGCAAATCTCCTTCTGATCTACTGTGGCTGAGCAGTGGGACAGGAGCACAATGTCCTGCTGTGAGCATGAACTCTAAATGCTTTACAAATATGGGATTAATATGGATCAAGCTGGAACTACTGCCATGAGTTCTGTCCATTCCTTTAATGTTTGACAGGTGTGCAGAGTACACACATGGGCAACACTCCGTGTAGTGATGAAACACTCAATTCCTCAGCGTTTTAACCCTCTCCATGGAGACCAACTGAAAAATGGAAATAATAATGGCGCCCAACGATTGTAATAGATAGAGTAGATAATAGAGTAGCCCACAAATCAATACAAGAAAAAAACAACTGACTTTTTAGGCACCACCATGACCACTTCATTTGTATTAAAAATAATATTTTATTGTACAAATCTCTCATAAAAATCACATGATCATAATACAAACATCAACCTGTTTAGTCTCACTCAAAAGTGTATGAGCCTATGCCTTACATAGACCCGCAACTCCTCAATATATTATGTAGTTGAACCTGATAAACTAAATAGCTCCCCTCCATGGAAACCTGTATAATTATTATTAACATGTACTTCTAATTAGGGCTGTGCAAATTAACGATTAATTTCTCGATTAATCGTTAATCTTTTTGATCGATTAAAATTTGTTTGATCGATTTCAAATTTTTTTTTTAACTTTCTGCACTAACGCCAGCCAAGGCATTGGCCTATACACATACAGCACAGCAATGAAGTAATAAAATGAACTAGGATCACACTAATCCAGCACGTTATTATTCTGAGTTGCCCCACTCAAGCGGCGGCCATATTGAGTGGGGCACGTGAGATTAATAACGTGCTGGATTAGTGTGATCCCAGTTCATTTTATTACTTCATTGCTGTGCTGTATGTGTATAGGCCAATGTAGTTGGATCTGTATGTGCGTTGTAATTAATCAATTAATCGATTAAAAAGAATTTCGATTAATCGAACACAAAAATTTTAATCAGTAACAGCCCTACTTCTAATGGTATTTGTATGATATATACACAGTTTATCAGGTTCAACTACATGATATATTGAGGAGTTGCGGGTCTGTGTAAGGCATAGGCTCATACACTTTTATGATGTTTTTATTATGATCATGTGATTTTATGAGAGATTTGTAGAACAAAATATTATTTTTAATACAAATGAAGTGGTCATGGTGTTGCCTAAAAAGTCTGTTTTTTTCTTGTATCGATACATATTGGGATGTGGCACCATTTGAACTCCTGTGCATCCCGTAATAGTAGCCCACATAGCCCACACGGCCTACTCATTAATAAGTCTTCAGAGACTGGGTCACACCAGAGGCTTTGCTATGGTTCTGCACCTGGAAAGCACTCTGCTGCCTGAAAATAACATTCCGGGCAGGCCCCGCAAGCATCTAGTCCAGCGGTTTCTGGGTACAGTCTCCAAAGCTGTTGATAAGGATACGTTGATCCGGAAAGCTGCATAGGAGACCAGCTCAAGCAGCGTCTAGACTGAAGAAAAAATTATTGAACAAAAAGAAAAAATGGGCAGTAAAACAGTTAAACATTTCTCACTAGAGAAAGGAAGTCCATTCTACTAGGCCACTAGCAGAAAACTAAGACATGCTGGTAGTGGAAAGAGTTATACCAGGCTGGTAACAAATCTATTTGCCAATGCCCAAATCCTCCTGTAGGCAGCAGTATATGCAAATGTCTCTGAATCTTGTCTCCCTTCATGAATGAAAAAGGAAACTTTTTTTTTTTCATCATTATCATTATCCCATTATAAAGCACCAACTTGTTAGCTGCTCTGTACATAAAATAATAATACTATTCACAAATATATATTTACACGCTTCAAGCAGTATTCCACTGCTGTGTGCAGTGTGTGTTTTATGCAGAATGTGCAATTCTTCACAGCATACTTGCACCTTATGGCACACTTACCTTACAACTGTGCACTTCTCCATTGTCATTGCAGGTTCTGTACCCTACCACTAGTTATGGGTTCCCAGGCATCAGCTCCAGGCATTGATCAGTCACTGATGTTGTAACTCCTGCGTATGCACTTAGGAGTTACATTGTCTGAAGCACTTGACCCATTCTCTATATCTGGAGTCAAAAGTAAACAATGCATGGCGAATGCGCGATACAGTGTACTCAGAGGAGTACTAGAGGAAAGGGAGGACGTTTTTTGGCCGAGGAGATTTTGCATGTCTTTTTTGCCAAAAAATCTCCACCTCTCAGCATTTTTTTTTAGAGTTTAGTGGCATGTACACAATAAAACTAAATATGGTGGGTTAAGTACTTGGGGTAACACATAAGATTTGACAAGGAACATTCCCACCCTCTGACTTTTAGGTAATCAATTTAGAACATACAAAAACATACGAAATCAATCAAAACATGGCTTCCTTGAAAAATATTATCGTTTCACTATATATCGTCCCTTTACCTCCCATCTATAAAGTAAGGTGAGTATTTACATTATCCATTGAATATACATATTATTAATTGTTACATCACAGTGGGGGTATTCAGATGAATGAATGTAACAATATGTATAGTCAATTGATAATGTAAATACTCACCTTACTTTATAGATGGGAAGTAAAAAGGATGATATATAGTGAAACGATAATATTTTTCAAGGTAGCCATGTTTTTATTTATTTTATATGTTTTACATCGATTGCTGTTAATAAAACATTCTAAACAAAATAGCGTCTATAGTGGGTACCTAAAAAGTGCATTGGTGCGTATGTTCCTTGTCAAATATTCAAGAGTTTAGTGCCACTTGAAATACTCTTTCACTCTCATGGCGGCATACTTACATATATAATATATTATGATTCTGTTTGCAATTAAATTTTTCAATTCAGTACAAAATAAAAGCCATTCTGGTGCACATGAGGTGAACTGACTTACTCTATTTTCATGTATGGTATTTCCTTTAATTGTTCTACGGATAAGCCTGAGGGATCGACAAGTTCCTTCCTGTAAAATGTTCAGAAATCAACGTTAATGGCACTCTCCATATCAACATTCTGAATAATTCCACAGCTAGGAAGTGAAAATGGAATAGAATTGAGCACATTATGCAGCGATAACCTTTAAACACCTGTACTTAAATTATGAAGCAATCCCATTTGGTAAACAAAACATTTCACTGTTTTTCTCATTTCATTTTCTGATGTTTCATCACACAAATACTGTGTTCCCTGTAAGGAAAATGTCTGCAGGAAAAAAAGTGTGTTGCCAACAGTAACCAATCAGGTTAAAGGGAATGTAAACCTTAAAGGAGAATTATGAGGCAAGCGATTTTCACTCAGCCTAATAATCTGAGCCGACCTGTGACCATGAAACTGTCACAGGTCGGCTCAGTAGATCGGGAAGTGAGCGAACACATAGCGTCGCTCGCTCACTTCTTGAGCTATCCCTGCAGAGAAAAAACCCTTGGGAGAATTATGGGGAAAAACCCTGACCCCATAGTTCTCCTTTAACAAAGATCCTTCATTTGATCCCTTTTGGTTTGTTTAATGTACCGTTGAGAGGTTTTTGTTAAAACCTGCTGATCTTGTGTTGTGAATCTCATAAGCTGATAACTTCCTGTGCTCTCTGCCTGTGTTGACTGGTATCAATTACACTGTCTTTAGCTATAAGGACTACAGAACCATGCCCCTCTATGTTTTGGAGAAGAGAAGAGGGAAAGGTCCTGTATTCGTAATATATTTCTGTTGTCCTGATACAGTAAGATGAGTGAGAATTGCCATACTAGGACTAGAAGTGTGCTACTGGCAGAATCAGCAGGTAAAAGTAAAGGAAATCAGCTTAAAAAAAAGGAAGCTAATGCAGCCACCACATTTGAGGACTGGTAAGATGCAATATATGGCATTTTTGGATTTGGGTTTAGATACACTTTAAGGATTCTTATAGACAGGTGTCAGCCATGATTATAGGGTGTGTTTACTGCAGCCCCATGCAGACATGGCTTTGGTAACCTTTTAAATGCTGGTTTATGTGAACGTTAAACAGAGCCTATCACCAGACCATTCATTTTAATAACAATCTTCCCATATGTTTATATGTGCTTTTACCATATGTTATGCATGTCATTTACCTGTAAAAGCTTCCCATATGTGGACATCCAAAAGCCCTGAGACTACTGCTGGGCGACACCATCTTGGATTTGATGCCAGCAGCCCCAGCAGACTCAGAGCTGTTAATCCAAGTGTCTATAGTCTAGTCTATAGTACTCCCCTTCACTCCTTCCCTGGCAGCTACAGAAAAGAGGGAGGTGTGGGGAGGGGCAGAGGAGCTGGATTGGCACAAACAGAAGTTAGACACTCCCAGAGGAGGACGTGGCTAAAAAGTGCAAGCAGGGCTGTTAGTGGCCTGACTCTCCTGGAGTAATCACATTTTCTAGCAAGTTAAAAGTAAGCACTTTAATTGATTTTTCTATGCTTTTAACTGCAAATTGTTAAGTTGGGGACATGTGAGTGTTACCTAGAGCCGAAAAGAGGAATAATGTCACCAGTACACCATATTTGTAAATCAATGATCCATTTTAATGGCACATTGCCATCCAATACAAGCACTTTCAGGGCCACAGGGGGTCCCCTTCATCAGGCTCAGAATGACATCGTCATGTGGACCCGAAAGCACTTGTATTGGATGGCAATGTGCCATTAAAATGGATCATTGATTTACAAAAACGGTGTGCTGGTGACATTATTCCTCTTTTCTGTGATTTACACGGTGCCTTCCGTTGTCACTAGAAGCACCCACCCAGTTTGGGGTTGTTTCGCTAAGGAGTGCAGCAAGACATCCTGTTTCTAGAAGTTTGTTACCTAGAGCAGACTGCTTGAAAATGCAACCTGTCTAGGAATGCCCACTCCTCCAGACTCACACCCACCCATCAAGGCAGTTTGATAACTGCATACTTCCCAAGAACCAGTCAACTGCTTACATCAGGACTGGGGGGGTTTCGAAAGGAAAAGTATGTTTCCCACCAACCATGAGCTGCCCACATTACATAGAAAATTAAGGTATGTAATAAAAAACAGAAAGGTTTTATTCGAAAATTGTACTACCATGTTGATGTAAGGCAGAGGGAGTTATCAGGGAAGGCAAAAGATAAGCAGAATAAACTTCAGCTTGAAAGCTTTTTGGGTTTACATATACTTTTAACAAAATACCTTGCACATCATATTCTTATATTGGTATCTCTGCCACAGATGGTTTTACCAGGACAAGAAGCTACAATTACAAAATGTGCCTGTGAATTGCGATTTTGCAACCTATCTATTCTTATATGAAGACATTCTGTTAATGTAAATAGTAATGGGCGGATGGATTTAGTCCTCCTATTAGAATACACAAAATCAAAAAGATAATGAGCAAGGTAAAACCATTTCATGTTTGAAATCTAAAGAATTCATGCTTGTTCAGAAAGCTTATATCATATCAAAGAAAACAATAACTACTTACTGAATGTGTTTCCATAATGCTTCCTTGGCCTGGACATCTGGGCTTCTCCTTATTTAGAAAAAAAGAAAAAAGTTTTCTAAGTTATACACGACTTATATATGAAGGAAGGAAACACTACAGAAAACAGGCTACAGTGTCTTTACTATGTATATACAACGTACCTACTGCCCATGAGCTCAAGCCCTGACACTAAGGGCCCATTTACACCATAGCGTTGCATTAATGGCACGATACCATGCTATTAATGCATGCTATCACACAATGCACCATACGCCAGGTACATTACATGTTCATAGAAAATCAATGGGTAGACACAATGCAACATGAATTAATACTTTTGAAAATGTGAATGGGCTCTACATGTTACATCTGTATTTTACGTAGCTGAATAATAAATATGAAGCAATAGTTATCATCCATGTTTCAGTCTCAGTATTCTGATGCAGTGCCATGAACGTCCTCCTGCAATCTCCTCTACTTCTCCCGCCATCTGTCTGAAGGTAAAATAATTTTCCCTTACACACAACTACTGTAGGCTGTATACCTAGAACTCAATGAATAGTTTTGGGTTGACATCTAATCTTGGAGAAATATCCACCCTTTGGTAAAATTGTTGTAGCTATCACCATTGGTCCTGGAACTTCAGTCTTGTAAGCTCCACTTAGAAGACCAAAGTTTCCTCAAGCAAAATGCTAAGACATGTGCTAAGGCATTAAAAGGATCGAAATTGATAGGATATGTACTGGATAGGCTCATAAATTGGAAAATTGCCAATGAGGTCAGCCAGTAATCTGGAAAGATCTTGTCCAGGAAAGGCACACACATATGGATAAAAGATCCTTCTTGATATTAATGCCAAGCGGCAGTAAAGGCTCGTATATGGAGACTTGTGTAAAGAATGGAAGAAAACTAACTAAACCAACATCATAGTACTGCTTAAAATGTGTATATGAACAACCAAAAGAAAAAATATACCCTCGACCACAGTAACTAGAACTGAAAGGGAAGGTCAGCTAAGTATAGCACAGTTCAACTTGACAAAACTGAACAACCTAATTAGCAACTAATGGAGCAGGTTGACCCAATCACTGGGTCAGGATGGCCATGGCAAAAATTTGCTGCAATGTATCTGCTATTCTCTGCTTGCTTTTACATACTCTACATGCATGCTTGCGTGAATGTCTATAAACACAGCTTTAAAAAGTATCCGATATTAAAATATACATGTACTTGTAGTCATACCTACATTTCATTTCAGAAAACTAAATAGGAAACCATAACTTCAAGCTAACAGCTAAATACAGAGTTTAAAAACACATTTGTCATCTGATGATTTGCAGGAATTGTAATTCTGTTCATGCAGTCTTGTGATTCCAACACCACCTTGGTTCAGCATTGCAGCTTCCATTGTCGCCCTTTAACCTACTCACTGGACCGTGAACCAGCATCACCACACTGCTAATTTGCTGTCCACTGTAACAGAGGAAGCTGCAAAGTTGAGCCATAAAATAGAAGTCATATTCCTGTTTGTGAACCACAAGGATGACTATAGAGAATCACAATAACAAATTGCATATGTGTATTTTAATTGTACATTTAGCTATTATCCTTTTTAAAGAGATACTAGGGTTGGCCTACTAAAGGAATCCAGCATGTTCACTTTCATACCTGTCCTCTCCATCCCTGCACTCCATTCCATCATCATACCCGTCCTCTGCACTCCATTCCACCATCATACCCATCCTCTCCAATAACACCAGCTATAGAGGAATACATCAGATCCCAGCAATAATACATTATATACAGCGCAATGCAGAATACCAGCAGCTACAGAGGACTACAAATCCCAGCAATAGTACATTATAGCATAATGTACTATTGCTGGGATTTGTTGTATTCCTCTAAAGCTGCTGGTATTCTGCATTGCGCCGCAGTTTAATGTACTATATTGCATGACACACTTTTTTTTTTTACTTCCACCGCTCCAAGCTTGCTCCCGTGATGAACTACAATCTCAATACAAACTAGTAGACCATCACTGGAGCCATTTTTATTTATTTATCCGATTAACCGATTAATCGAACGTAATAATCGGCTAACTAATCGATTTGGAAAATAAACGTTAGCTGCAGCCCTAGCAGGATCACATGTAATTCACAATGATAGATCTGTGATTAACCGCTGACAGGGGAAGGACTACGTCAGATATCAAAGTCGATAAAATAAAATGATTGTTTCTGTACAGATTTAAAAATGAAGGACAAGTGTTCCTGCCAATATCAACACACGAGAAGGCAGATATGTCAATAAAATGGTTTTATACATTGCTTAGTACATGTGTTAACATGCGTATGCAGATACTAGCAGTTACATATATGTATCACATAAAGTGCAAATATATCATGAGACTGTGCTAAAGACTGGGGAATGTACAACATCATTGGGGGTCATGTACCCATCAGAAGAAAACAATCATTTTGATTAGTGAATTAAAGCTTGGTTTACAGTGTAACTCCACCTTGCAGTCAAATTTGAGAAACCCCACGATGTAATTGTTACACGTTCACATTTGAACAGCAGACCTATAAAATTTAAAAAAACATATTTCTTAAAGTAGAACTGAAGCCCAATTTGTTTTTGTTTTTATTTGTGGATAGAGTAAGGGAGGATTATAACCCATGTCAGCTTTGTTTTGCCATCTGTGTCCCATTGGGGAGTTTCCCCTAAAATTCCTGTCTGATAACTACAACAGGAAATCCCTTGAAAAAAGGTCTGCAAGGTCAACAGAGCTAGCGTCCTCACTGGAAGATTTCCCATTTATTCCTGTACTGATGACAACCCAAAATTTGGGATTTTCTTTCACTTTCAGTGATAACGGTCACCAGGACAAACAGTGAGTGAATCGTCCTAATGAGGGCAGAGACAGCAATAAAAACCTTCAGATGTTTTTATCCCTTTACACTCTGTCCAAAACTAAAAAACATGTTTTGGCTTCAGTTGCACTTTACTTTCTAGTTGTTTCTTCAGAGCCGGATTATACATAAGACTCTATAGGCAGCATTAACATACACTGTACCACCCAAGAATTGAGATCTTTAACCCCTTGTTAGAGAAGACAGTCCGCACATCCAGTTTACAATTGATAAAGAAGGTTTGCCCGCACAGTACAGACAGGGTTAATTATGGTAAAGATAACTCCTCCGCCCCCTCCTTAACATTACATAGAAGGGAAAAGTTAAGCAAGATTTTTCAGCAAGGAAAGAGGTAAATAGCAATTTGTAATTTTTATGTATTCTATGTGGATGGAAACATATAACAAATATAGAGTAGGTGTTATCCCAATTTGGCTGCAAAAGTGGAAATACACGTTAATTTAAATCCTTTCTGATAATTGCAGAAAATATGAAACCATATGAGGATGTGGCGTTGTGCAGCCTGCCCACAGGGACAGGGGTTTGTGCTGGCACTCAACAGGTAAGTGCATGTAAATAAATGCACCTGCAAAACATTGCTTTCATCGGTGTCTAAACAAACACAAGGGAGCTTTCGGAAAGCTCTAAATGCAGCCAGAATACACTTAACGTACGATCGAGAACGATGTCTGGATCTCCTGTAGTTGGGGTCAGCCTGGTTCTTCTCTTTTTGTCTTCTTAAAACAGCTTCCCACTGTGGAGCAGAATCCACCATGTCATTTTCCTGCCGTAACCTGCAATAAAAATATTATTTATGTTTTCAGCGAAGCGCATGCAAGTGCAGTCATGTGACTAATGTGCTACTGCTGTGTAATTTTGTTCCTGCACCCCCCGTGAATCGATAAAACAATGCATGTCGAGTGCCCAGAGAAATATAGGAGATCTGGTTTGTAGGAAACAATTTCACTACATTTCTAAGCACACCAAAAAGAACATGGAAGTCACTGTACGCTTTGCATCAATAAACCATATGAATTACATTGGGACCGACACTGCTAGAGTCTCTGCCTGTGGCTGGTGGTGGTTGGAATCATCTGCAGGTGTATTAGATCTCTTCAGGATCTAGCACCAAGATCTCTCCAAAGGAGTTTATGAAATACTGACTGGATATGGTGAAGAGTTTAAATTAGCAGATCACAAGTTGGTCACATTCTTTGAAATCAAAATTTCTCTTTTGTTTTGTAAAATGTTTTGTACATTTCAACCTAAATGTAGGTACATGATGAAGATCATGCAAAGCTTACACAACACCTTAGTACACTTTACTATGAGATTATGAAAGTTGTTCTGGGGAGTTGGGAGTTTTAGGTTTCCTTCTTTATAACACTCAGATTGGCTTCATTAATAACCACTTTATGACATTGAAATCAATGAATGAAATGTCAATGCCCAAATGGACACATTTTTTTCAGTATGCACACACAACGGTTTTTAAATCAATTTTTTACTCCCTGCATTGCACTGTGATATCTGAGGCCTGCCAGAGTCAGCTATTATCATGCCTGCATCTGTGAGAGACACTGTGGCAACTGGAGTGAGTAGGTTTGTTGGTGAACAGACCTACATTAGCATCATGATTCATTGTCATGGAGATCACAAGATCAGGAACCACATTGATTGGCTTTCGGTCATTAGTTTAGACCAATGGCTGTCAGCCGCGCACTCTATGTTGTAAAAGATATAAAATATAATATAGGTCAACATCTTCTCAGCACAGGGAACCTTGAAGAACTCCGGGCAAAACTTTTATCAACCCTTGCAGTGGGGCTACCCCCGCACTCCAAGGGTTTACTGCTCATTTTGGTCTAGGGAGGAAAATAACAAAGTTATGCTTACACCTCGGAGACGGCTGTCACTGTGCGCCCTTCAACCTGTCTCCTCCTACAGTGCAACAATGGTATGTCCCTCAGTGCTCTTACAACCTATACACAATGTATAGAATGTGATGACTCAAGGACCTTAGACCCCTGCAGTAGAGGGGGAGAGAGGTTGGAAGGACTGGTCTAAGAGCAAGCCAGCTTCGAGGGTCGGGTGAGTATAACCTTTTAATTTTCCTCCCTAAACCAAAATGAGCAGTTACCCTTACAGTGTGGAGGAAGCCCCATTGCAAAGGTTAATAAGAGTTTTGCCCGAAGTTCTTCTTTAATCTACAGACTGCAGACATCTAGGTGTCAGGGCAAAGATAGAATAGGCACAGGTATTGCAGATATCACTGATGATGTGGGTATTTAGGATGAGCTACCTGTGCTGGAGTGCAGATCTTACTGGTGGCATAAATACAAATAACAATTGGGAGTGTTGGAGATCAGATATCACTGGTGACTATGGAAATGTGTGCCGAGGTCCCAACACCGAGGAAGGTTCCGGTGTGGTCAGGGTAGTATCCCACTGGTGCAACAAGCCCTGTTCAGCTGAATTTACAACTCGTGGCAGATGCATCCCACAGTGAAACAGGAAGCTGAAAAACCCTGAATCCCTTCTCATAGTGTATAGGATTGAATATTAAAATAAATTCATGGGATTGCATAAAACAGCTTTGCTCCACAGCCTTTCTTAATTTTTTGCATGAGTTATACATTTTTGCTAACTTCTTCTACCTAGTAGGAGGTTGTCATTAGCCATTCCTTTACTGAATGTAATGCTTTCTGTGTCACTGAAGGTTATAAAGGTTCACTCTAATCAAAAAAGAATTTGCAATTACACTGACTCAGGGGACATTAGTTGAGTGCCTATGATTTTTATTTTGGAATTCATGCTACATTGCTGGACACCCCCACCACCCTTCTGGATGCTGGTATCCTCCTCAGCCTAAGAATTTGTAGGTCAGTGTGCTCCCACTGAATTATATGTCAAGAGGCTGAAGTCCTACAAAACAATGTGAAAAGCTTCCTGATAATGGCTGCAACAGATTTTACAGAACACACTTTCTGACCTCAAAACAGTTCTAATCTTTCACGGAGAGCAAATGCAATTCGCTGGTTTTACATTTTTTTCTATAGTTTTTCTTTCATTTGAATTAGAATGTGAAACATGTAATTTGTTAAATTCAATACAAGTGTCTAGCTGTAATCAACAGCTGTGAACTGTCTGTACCGTTCAGCCACTTTTCTGCATCAAATTCCTACTGTTGCAGAACTGCATTGGGTAAGGGTGACAGGATGACCTGACAAAAAATTATAGACATGTCACAGGGACAGGCAACCAAGTAATCTAGAATGACATTAATGTGCATGATTTTACACATGAGTTCAGCTCGCTACAACATGGGATGACAACCACCTGCTGTGACAATGAAAGATTAAAAAGGCTTCCAACACGCTCACATTCTGTGCTAAAAAATTATTTACAACAACCAGTCTTTTTCTACTGCTATGTTCTCCAGGGACAAATGAGAAATAGGGGGAATAAAACTAAAAGCATTTGATTAAAAGTTTACAACAAATATGTCCTACTTTAAAACCTAACTACATCAAAATATATACAACTATAGGATTCATTCTGACATATGGCTAAACTGTTCTTATCATAGAAATGTGAAGTATGAAGAGGAAGTCTGACAACATGCAGCAAAGTTTCCTTTAGACTCTATCTTCATTTTAAAACCATTACTTACATTTAAGGGACACAACAGTGGAAAACAACTAATACTTCAGATCTTATTCTGACTTACATATAGTGGCAACTTACACATAACTGAAATTAAAGCTAGATACTAAAATAGTCAACTATCATCACATCTTAGGGACCTTGGCATTGACATCTCAAAACCTGAGCTCTCAGGTCCATCTGCTAGGTCAATCCATGGGATCTCATTTTCCCTTGTTGAATTGTTTTCATATAGTTTACATGACCAAGTACAGCAGGAATGAAAATTCATGATGTCATAAGCTATAAGAAGCTAAAAGATGTTTCTGCCCGTAGCCTCTAGCATTTTAGTTTTGAAAGATCTTTGATTGACTGTATCCATAGATATCAGATTCCAGGCAATAGATGAAGTGTATCTGTAAAAAATAAGTAAAGGCAACTGGACTTGCTGTATTTTTCTTGAAAACATTTCACTGGACATCCGACCATTTCAATTGCCTTGACAAATTTTTTACAGATATACCATGACCTGGATGGATGGGAACATTCACAGACACAATAGATGAAGTGGTGGTCTCATGTTTATGGCTAGCCAACACTCCTTTGAGGAAACAAATGACAGAACACCTTGTCTGTTCACTATTATTATTTCCCCAAAGATAAAATGGAGCAAGGTGGTTTCTTTATGTGCTTTAGTGAGGATTGTGCTGAGAAAGGAGTTAGCAAGGTAAAGGAGACTGGCTTACTACCAGGTAACATGTCCCTCATCACCAATTCATTCAGTTAAGAACACTTCCACCACGATTCATCAGCAGGAATGAGTCGGTATAGAGGGACAGGCTAATGCCTAAGGAAGCAACTGTTGGCAAGGAAGGAGGCTGGGGTTGGCCTCCTGGCAGAGATCAGATGTCAGAGTTTACCCCAAGAGAGAGGTTGCTGGCACAAGGCAAAATTTGTGGCAAGAAAAGTTCTTACGAATAGTTTACGAGAGAGAAGTTGCTGGCAGAGAAAAGAGTGATGTAAAGGATTCTGCTGAATGGCTAAGACGGGGTCATAAAAAGAAAAGTTGTTGAGCCACTGTGATAGAAGAATTTTTGAAAAGAGTAAACTGGCAACAAGAGACAAGCTGCTAGGGAAGAAGCCATCAGCGATGCAGAGGATGCTATTTTGTTGATGCCCAAAGAGCTGCTGTCAAACAGTGGAGAAAGCAGTCAGCCAATAGGACTGGTGAATAGTGGTAGAAGGTTTCCTCAAAGAAAAAAGAGGGTAATGGGTAAAGAAAGTGTCAGCGATGAGAAGCAGGCTGCCAGGGCATGAAAGAACTGGTGGCGATGACAGAATTGGCAGTGCGGAACAGGTTGCTAGCTAAAGAAACGGAAAGGAATGTTCATATTACTTTCTAATCATTGATTTCAATCGCAGTGTTAAAAAAATGTAAAAAACACTCCATTCATTACACAATCAAAGGTTAAATAAAAATCAAACAAAATTTTGAACAACAATTGCCAAGCTTCTAATGGTATTATCGAAAGGTCTGATGAATGAATTTTTCATTAGAACGTTTGTTCAAAAATCTACGTGTGTATACCCTACTTAAGGAAGTACTTAGTGAGGGGCAGAATGCAATTGAATGTATGATTAAAAAGGATGTGGTGGCAAGGTACAGGCTGCTGGCAGAGGAAGGCATCAGCAGTGAGGGACAGGTTGTTGGTGGGTATGAAAACAGATGAGCTATTTGGCTTTGCAAACATACATACACTGACTGACTTACACTATTCGTGTAGGGCAGTGTTTTTCAACCTTTTTTGTGCAAAGGCACACTTTTTTCATGAAAAAAATCACGAGGCACACCACCATTAGAAAATGTTAAAAAAATTTACCTCTGTGCCTATATTGACTATATATAAAGTAATTCTCTTGAATAGGAATCAAATACACACAAAGAAATTATTTTATAATTACTTTATTATGAAATAATAAAGTATTTTATAATTGTTCATATTTCTGTTCAATCCATGACTTAACTTCACACTTCACACAAATACGTTTTAAATTCAAACTGTAGCACTGACGTAGCCCTGGTTAAAGTAGGGTTCAGTGGGGTAGGTTTAAATTGATCAGACTTGGATGCATACACTAACAAATGGAC